TCCTGAATAAGCCCGAAAACTTGACGGTCCAACATTAGTCTAGAGATGCCCAGGGCTAGAGCGTGTTCGGCTGAAAATGATCACACCTTGGACCTTGGCTGTAAACAAGGTTGGTAATCGGGCTGTAAAACCCAGACGGCCAACCCACCCAGCTGCCCATCAAGGGCCTTCGCAAGCAGAAGGCTGTTTAAAAGGTTCAGGTCTTAAGTAGGCCAGGTTTTCGCCCGAATCCGACCCAAACCAGGCCTGAAAGCAGCATGTAGGTGCCTAAACAATGACTAACACCAATAATTGAGAAGCAAATGGACAATGAAACGGAAACTTGGCTGTACTGTAATAGGATAGGCCCGCAAGCAATGAGTCCGCTTGTGTGCAGCCCTACCAACATCATGAAATGCCAAAGTCCAACCACACGCGCAACAGCAAGCAATGTGCAAGAGCCAAAAAAGGCTCTTGAAAACAGCATGGACATTTGATGCCTATGCTGTTTCACCATGAGGGGTGTCAGACACAAATTAGGGCATGGTCTGGAAGCAGTTCGCATTCGCCCAAAGCAGCAATCTTGCTGCTTTTAACGATGCGACAAGGCATGGAAAACGTACTGCATGGTGGTGCACAAGCTCTGGGAGCTCGTTAGGACAGCTCTCCTCCTGCGAAAGCACTAGGATCCAGGCCAGGTAGGTAAAAAATTCGACCGGCACCCCAAAGGAGGCAAGCAAGATGCCAGGCTTGAAGCGCGGTACAGGCAGACGTTCAAGCACAGTAAGCATGCAGCAAGAGCACGTGCTGGCATATTTCGCCGCTGCCCGCGTTTGTCCTCAACCATCAGGGGTTTTGCTGGCTGGTGATCTTGATTCGACAGCGTATGTCTTCTGAACCTGCCTGGCCGGTTTGGGTTTTGTTCTTCTAAGGTCAAATCGAGCAGTTCAAGAGCCTTGGATGCAAATACTACATCTGCCCAGCCATCGGCATTCGGCCGGGCGGATCCTTCTCCCGCTGGCGTTGGCATGCTTTAGCTGCGCTGCACCGAATCCATGGCAAAAGTTAGCTCGCATGTAGCGGAGAGAATCCTGTGATCTTGCTGTGTTTACCCCTTATTCAATCAGCTTCACGGCCCTGCATCCATGTGCTTTCGTTCGTGGCTTCGGGATTTGGAGCTTCCAACGGCTGTTTCTCAGGGTGGCTTTCGACAGGTGGCAGCCTCAGATGCCCATCTCACTGCCTCGCCCCAACTTACCTGAAACAGAGGCGCGTGGTAGAGTAAAGCGCATGACAGATTAAGGGGGGGCGGATGACAGTACAGAGGTACGATGAGGATGGAAGCGGAGAGATTGAGTTCGAAGAGTTCTCCAACATGGTACAAGAGCTTCTGAAGGCCCATGTAGAGGGGAAATTCAGACAGTTCATGCTGACTGCAATCTTCTGCTGGCGTGGTGGCACATGGATGGAAGTGCTTGACTGTTCCTGTGTAGAAAATCCAGTGCAAGACCTTGATACAAACAAAGCATCGGAATGGCAGATCCCTCACGGACAAGAGTTGCCCTATGATCGGCTTATGACAATGTGGAGATCGGCTGACTCTCGCCTGCAAAGACCCGGGCTTATCAGCTAAACACCCAGTGATTCCACGGCGTTTCTTAGGGCGCCTAATCTACTGCTACTGGAGGCCATCTCGAAGCTAGCTGCGGAAAGCATGCAGACACATTACGATTTCGTTCGAAGACAAATTGGCAAGCTCAGACCAGGACATGCAACAGAAGGGCTGTCTTGACTTTCGGGAATTTTGTGCCTCTTGGCTGCAAGCTACGCAGAAAGAGCCACTACTCAATTCCTGAATCAAGCTTGTCCCAACCCTGACTGAGCAGGCTGATCTAGCGCAAGCCTGGCCACCTGCAAACATGCTGCCAAGCATGTACTATTGTAAGATGTGGCATAAGACTTTAAGAATAAGATTGTAGTCTCGTTTTGGTTACAGTTTTCTATGATAAGGTTTATGAAGAATGGTCTTACTAGTTCCAGCTGCCCGAAAACATGCCCCACGCTGCTATGCCAGAACAACTGCAATCATCCCGCCGTTTGCCTTCAAGTCCCAGATATGGCTCACACATCACCGGCTCACGGTGCAGCTTCATGCCTTACATTCACGCTTTACAGCATGCTGCAAGCAGTAGTTGGCTACACCCTGGCATTCGGCCATGTACTGCTTTCTTTGCCCTGGGATGCTAAGTTCTTCTATTTCCGGATGGTGGCCACAGAGGAGGGGAGTGATCCTATTGCTGACTATTATCGCAATGTCTGGGCCTTGGTGGTGCCATTAGTGCAAGGGATGCGCAGCCAGCAAAACGTGCATCAAGACTTGTGTCCCAGGTGCGGCATGTACCAGTCGCACCTTGAGGGCTGCCAGGCTGTGGTAAAGGAAGATTCCAGAGATTTCGACTAAACAGGTACGACCTGCCAGAATCCTTGTCAGTTTTCTAAGTTGATTCCTGAGGCGTAGGGTTTGCCAGCTCCGGCACATCCAAAGAAGGCTGAAACGGCCAAGATGCTGCGATGCCCGCGTTGGCAGAGTCGGAACTTGAGCCTCAGGAGCACAGCCTTACAGTGAAATCTTATGCTGCATACTCTTCTGGCGAAGTCCCAACCCATGGTGAAAATCCCTTTTCTTTCGTAAGAAGGCGTGCCACACCTGAATTTCACATGTTCCGCCACGATAGCAGAAGCAAGGTCCCAGGCGAGCATAGAGTATTTGTATGTATTTGTACTATGCTTTAATGCAAGGCCAATCAGAACAGCTACCGGTATCAAAGAACAGGATTCTGTCACGTTGTTGCCGCTTCAAGTGACGCAAGGTTTGATAGGACATGGCCTCCGTGTGGAACATGAACATGTATGCATGCGTTTCACCAATACATCGGCCTTTGAAAGGTCCTGTGCGGTAATTTGGCGGCGCCGTTGCAATTTGATGGCCAAGCAGATGGCTCTCCTGGGTTCGAAGGAAGTCACAGGGTTCGTACCGTTTAAATCACTGACGTGAAGCAGCACATGCCGAGGGCTTGGCCGTCGCCATGCCGTGCTGCAAACGCAGACGGTGCCAAGATGGATGCATTTTGCTGCTTCACGGCGCCAATACATACTTAGCGTAAGCCTAAGCATTGAAGGCAGCGGGGGAATTTGGAGCGACGTGAAGCCGCCATTCTTGCTTTCCAGTGGCCAGGCAAGCCTGGGAGACCAGAGGGCAAGCGTGCTGCAATCACTTGGCATCTTGGCCAGAAGTCGAATGTATGTTGCAGATGGTGCCTCAGCTTCTGCATGCTCGGTAAACAGTATGTATCCCAGGACCAAGCTTCCGCTGGCTATGTGCAGCCGCCCGAGAGTTGAGCTTTTCAGCTTCCACTTTTTGTGTTGAAGACGAGATAGTGGCCAACAGGGCAGCGATAGTCCACAAATCTCATGCCTAGGTCAATTCATCCAGCTGATATTGTTGAATGAAGCCATGATGTAGATGGGAGTTGAAGTCCTCGGCCACATGCTGTGGGACATGGCTCATTTCCACGTGCTTGGCACAAAGGGCCTGTCATGTTCAGACTTCATGGGGGATGTCGATGTCCCGATGGCTTCCAGGTGCTGCTGTTGCGGCTGCTGGAGACTGCATTGCGCTTTCCCGAGCTGCTGGTGTGATTCATCCTACGTACCCCACCCACTACTAATCGCTTCCCTCTGATGTTAAATGACGTTTTCCCCCCGGCCTCAACATTACTTCTCTTGACGAATGCTGCGCTTGCGCAAACGCAGACATACTTGTTTCTCAACCTGCTCCCTGTAGTTTTTTCGGCTCAAGCGTCAGCCTGTAGGAGCCCCTAACCAACCCTGTGGGTATGCTAGGGGCCTGGCTATCTCCCACGGGAGACCCCGAGGCCTGGTAAAGCTACATTGAGTTCATCCCCTCTTACAACACTCATGTAAGGCAGGGGACAGTTCTGGCACGCCTCGACAAGGTCGAAGCCCGACACCGTGAAGGGCAGTGTGGCTGAGACAAATTTCTTGGCGGTCTCCGACAAGCACCTCGCATGGACCACGGTTCGGGGAACCAGTTTTGCGCCAGAAGCCAGCGCCAGTGCCCGGAGACTCGCCGTGGCAGGTCCTTTGACTTCCACATGGACCGTTTTAGGTTGGTGACGCTGGGCGACCTGGTCGACAAGAAGATTGAATGGATTGCCCAAAGCCTCCATGATTGCTCAGTCCTCTGGTGATGATCAGGGAGAGGCCGAGCTGGGACTGGGATGATCAGTCCAGACCCTCACCAAGCTCAACGCCCTGGAGAACGAAATTGGAAGGGCCCGTGGGCCTTAAAAGTAAGACTAAACAAGAAGAACCAGCTACGGTTGAGACCCCGAAGAGGGAAACTCCGAAGAAGGAGAAAATGAAAAGAAAGGAAAGGTCCTGAGTGTCCTGACCCAAAAGCAGGCCCTTGAGGGCGGCAAGCCGGCGGGATGGCTCGGCAAGGAAGACACTCCTCCGGATACATCCGAGAGCTCGGAGACGATGAGCCCTCTGCGGGACAAGTCCCAAAACAAGAAGAAGAAAAAGAAACAGGGTCGGATCATGTCAAGGCACCTTATGGAGGGTGAAATTCGTCCAGCAACTCCTCTGAAGAAGAGGCGGGTTTTCGCGAACCCCCCCTCCCAGGCCAGCAGCATGAACCTTCAGCTGTAGCTGAAGGAGTATTTTCAAAAAAGCCAGGGAGACTTAGAGAATGCATCCTTGGTGGGGGGGGTTCCAAGCGGCCAAGACCCCACCGGTCGCCTCGAACTGGGATCCAGCTTATGCGGGAGATCCGCGCCCTGGTCTGGCCCTGGGCCAGGTCGCAGCCGGTCACCCCACAGCCGCCGCCGCGGACACCATAGCTCAGCGCCGACAAACTCTGGATGGGCAGTCCGCAGTACATGGAGCTCCTGGACGCCGAGGGACACTGGTAGAACGGGGCGTGCAAGTCATGGCGTCCAAAGAGCTGTCCAGAGAGCTGAAGATGAGGAGGCTGCAGAATTCCGCCAAGGATGACCAGAAAGGAAAGAAAGGCGGCAAGAACGGGAAGGAAAAAGCCCCGATTGATCACTTACTCCCCTGATGAGGCCCACGAGTAAGTCCGCCTAGTCACGGTGGCCAAGTAAGGCTGCTGATGGCTTCTCTTGATCCGAGTGGCGGGCCAAGCTCGGCAGGGGCGTCTTTTGTGGCAGGCGATGAGCTCCTTGAGGTCAGGCGTGGGAACTTGCTCCCGCAGCCAGGCTTCCTCCAGGCGCCAAGTCCACCACAACAGGGGGGGCTCTTGTGCCTCTTCTCATGCGCCAATCCATCCTGCCTTGATTCACCTGACCTCCCAGGTGTCACCGGTACAGTGTCGACTGGCTTCAAGTGTCGGTCCTCTCTGACTACTTGTGCTGCGTGGGCTGGAGCAAGCCAATTTGCCTTCCGACTTCCACAGGAAGGACTGATCAAGCGGACGGCTGATCCCGTTGGTCGCTTTGCCGCCCACTCAGACAAGATGTCAACCTCCTCGACTTCAAGCTCCAAGCTCAAGTCAAAGAAGTTCGACAACTGTGGAGAAGTGATTGAACGTATGGAGGACCTGGTGGCTGCCAAAGCTATCAGGCCTGCTGCTCCTCGCGCTGCTGGTGTCGACTTCCAGATGACCTTGCCGCTCAACTCCATGACTCCCAGGCCTTTCTGCCTCCCAAGGTGGAGCTTCCTGATGGGCGCCGCGGGTCGAAGGTTTGGGGTTCTGAAGATGAGTGGTGAAAGGTGGTGATTGGGCAAAAGACGCTCCGGCCGTACAGCTCCCGCTGCAGGAGGGTAAAGGGCGCTTGGGCGACGCCGAGACAGATGGCGACCTCACGCGCAAGAATTTGAGCCTGGCAAGAGGGCCCTTCAGGAACGCCAATGCCAATGGCAGGTTTGGATCCTTGGAGAACCTTACGAGTCCCACATGTGGTACCTGCCCGATGCGCGGGTTCTGTGCTCCGACCGTTGGTTTTGGACGAGTTTCTCCATCTGCTGCTTTGGAGGCGAAAGCAGAGATGCACCACCATTGCACACAACTCCCCGGCATTGCGTCACTAGCCCTGGCCATGATTGGCTCGACTCATACCAAATCCATGAGGACTTGTGGAGCAACCATTCGTCCGACACGGAAGTCGAGGCCGAGTACCCTTGGGACCTCTGTTTGGTTTTCGCGGAGGCTGTGGCGCACGAGCTGGCCCAATACTTCCCTGAGCATTGTGGAGTTCGTTCCTTGATGTTGAATTCGCTCATTCGCCGCAACTTGAAGGGCGCCACAAAGGGCCTGCAAAGCGAGGCGGCTACTCGTCATGCCATTGAGCAGGTTTTCCAACTCCTGGATACGATGTAGAATGGCCAAGAGCAAGACCACTTGCGTATGCTACTCCATCATGTGCGTCACATCAGCACCAGCGTCTGCTTGACCCACCTAGGTGGAGACTTGGAAGGGAACCGCCCCTGTCTTTACCAGGATTCCGATGGCTATGGCACGATGTGCTTAGTTCTCGGTGGAAGCAGGAGCAACATATCAACATCCTCGAGGTCTCGACTTTCCGCTCGGAAGAAAGACCCGGACCCAGCTGAACATGGGAAGCGCTTTTTCAATATCCTCGCCTCTTTGGTGGCTTTTGGTGGCCATCTACGTCCTCTCCAAGGGCAGTTTTCTTCTGGCCGCCTCAACCGCCTCTGCCGCCGTGTGACTGCACTTGATATTGCCGCTGCTGTGATCCCCATTTCGCTATGGACCATCTCCAATTGTGGAACTTCTCCGATGGTGCCTGCA